CTAACTCAGGTGGTCAAAGAACTTGAATCCAGAAACATGGACATAACTGCTTTACAAGAGATTAGATGGACTGGAGAAGGTACACTAAAAACTAATAAATCAGTAGTATTTTTCAGCGGAAGCGAACGAGAACATCAATTCGGAACTGGTTTTATAGTCAGGGAAAGTCTTGTGGGGTCAGTTTTAACTTTCAAACCCGTTAATGAAAGACTTTGTTATATCAGAATCAAAGGACAACTACATAACTATTCCCTAGTTGCTGCCCATGCACCGACAGAGGAAAAGGAAGAGCATGTAAAAGATAACTTCTACGAGAAACTAGAGGAACTGATAAATAATTTACCTAAACAGGACATGCATATTATCTTAGGAGATTTCAATGCAAAGATTGGGAAGGAAGCAGCGTACAAACCAACAATAGGTAACCATAGTCTTCACGATGTTAGCAACGATAATGGAACAAGGCTAATAGACTTTGCAGCATCCCACAATCTACTAATAAAATCGACAATGTTTGAACACAAGAATATACACAAACAAACATGGGTCTCCAACGACGGCGTCACAAGAAATCAGATTGATCATGTTCTAGTAGATGGCAGGAGGGTAGTAACTGTCTAGACGTAAGAAGCCTAAGAGGAGCTGATGGAGACACGGATCATTTTCTTGTAAAAGCGAAGATAAGGACAAGAATAGCGTCCAAAAAAACACACAAGAATACACCAACACAATTATGGAATACCGAAGTTCTACGTAATAAGGAGACAGAACAGAAATTTCAAAAGGCTATAAAAATCGCTCTAGCACAGACAGAAGACTATAACAACATAGACTCAGCTTGGAAAAATATCAAAGTAGCTCTGACAAGCGTATCAGATGAAATACTAGGACACAAAAAGAAAACAACAAAAAAATGGTTCGATGATGATTGCCTGAACTCCATATTAGCAAGAAATATGGCTAGAAGGAACATGCTACAAAACCCCTCGCACAACAACAATGAAATGTATAGACAAAGAAGAACAGAGACAAGAAAACTAATGAAAAGGAAGAAGAGAGAGTATCAGGAACAAATAATCAGAGATATAGAAGAAAAAAGAAAGAACAAACAAGCGAGGCAGTTCTTTAAAGGAGTTTCAGATATCAAGACCGGGTACCAAGCAAGAACAGGAAACTTTCTTCAAAACGACAGTGGACAGCTTATCACTGATGACAAGGAAATCTTAAAAACCTGGAAGGAATACTTCTATCAACTATTGAATGACCAATCTAGCAGAAGTACATCAAACATAGAGGTACATACAGCTGAAATAGAAGACCAATACCCGACATACGAAGAAGTAATACAGGCAATTAAAAAACTCAAAAATAATAAGACACCAGGTAGCGATGGTATACCCGCAGAGTGCTTAAAACATGGAGGAGAAGCGTTGTACAGTTCGATATACAAGCTAATTCAAGACATTTGGCAAGAAGAAACAATGCCAGATGAATGGAAAGAAGGGGTTATTGTACCAATACACAAAAAAGGAAACAAAAAGCAATGTATTAACTACAGGGGAATAACACTCCTAAACACCACCTACAAAATCCTTGCAAACATCCTGCTAGAAAGAACCAAAACATACACAGAAGAAATCGTTGGAGATTATCAATGCGGATTTAGACCGGGCCGCTCTACAATTGACCAGATATTCACAATAAAACAGATAATGGAAAAATGCTGGGAGTTTGATCGTGAGCTTCATCAGATGTTCATAGATTTTAAACAAGCATTTGATAGAGTATGTAGGGACAGACTGTGGACAGCGATGCAGGAACTTGGCTTTCCAAAAAAAACTAGTCCGGTTGATACGGATGTGTATGGAACGGTTACGATGTAAGGTGAGAGTTGGACAACAAACGCTCCTGGTTATGATTTAATTACTGGTGAGCTGCTGAAAAATCTTCCCCAAAGAGCTATTGTAATTTTAACAAACCTAATTAATATTGCAATCAGATCAAAATATGTAGTAATGATATGGAACATGGAAGAAGTCATTATAATTCCTTAAACTAGGAAAACCAGCACATGAGGTTTCGTCATACAGATCAATATCTCTGCTTCCTGTGATACTGAAACTGAGAAACTTTTCCTAAGTGAACGATTTCTGAAGTGGAATTTGAAACGTCAATAAACTTCTACGAAGTAAAAAATCTGATTCTGACAATCAATTCGGGTTTGGGACAAACACCAATAAAAACAATCGACCTGGTGCAGAGAATCAAATATTATTGAAAGATCGCTACAAGAAATGAAAGTATGTCTAATTATCTTCATTAATGATGCACAGGCTTTAGATAAAGCCTGGTATGAAGGTTTAATACATACATCAAAAAGTTTTTTGCTCAAACAGTACTCACAACTTTAAGAGTCTTACTAGAATTAAGTAGGAAGACTATTTTTCAGATTTAAATGAAATTACAGCAACTGTTTCACAAGGCAGTTTGTTGGGTCTGCTATACATGTAACATACATGTATTGGAAGACAATACAGTACCCACCTTTGTTAATGATACGGCTATCCAAGAAGTAGAAATGACTAGTGAAGAGGCGACCAACAAGATCCAAATAACAGTTAAACAAATCCATAAATCGACATCAAAAAAATGAAGAATCAGACTAGTGTCTGATACAATAAAGTGTTTAGGTACAATATTAGATGACAAACTACGCTGGAAGGCTCACGTCAAGCAAAAAAAGTTAAAAACTAAATGAAACCTGTATGTCCACTATGGGAGTGTGCTTCTTGGTGCGTGCAAAGCAGTGACCTCCCTAAGGACCTAGGAATAGAAACTGAGGATATAATCATCAACAATTTAGCAACGACTTCATAGGCATGAGAATATAGAAGCTATCCAGCTACTCGCTACTACTGGACAACCTAGAAGATTGAAGAGGACTTTCTGAACTAGTTGGAGTGATCGTGAAAAGCAAAGCGTAGTACTTTTACGCGTGTGCATCTTAGAATAGTGCATTATCTTGTTAGTTTAGATAAGAAACGCTATAGGGTAAGCACTTAATTTAATAAGGAACAAAAGAAATTTAGGCTAAATTCAAATTGCTCATTGGTCGTATATCACCAGACTGTAATTGTAATAATCATCATCATGCTGATGGTTAATGAAAAAAATTGCTACAGCTATCACAAAATTTTTAAAGTATAAAGAGCTAACTACGTTAATAAGAAACCAACTGATTTTAAGCTAATCTTTTTTATTAGTCAGCCCGACATAAGACAATCTATTGCCGAATACAATAGTTGTCATAGTATATAAGCAAATGAGTTTTTTCAAGATTATAATAATTTTTCCTATATTTGTTTTAATGTTGCATCGGAATTTGTTATTAATTTATCTGAATTTGTTACAATATTGGCTTGGCAAAAAAGTCAAGCGACCAATAGTTCGGTGGTCCTTCGCCATATTAAGATTGTTGTGCTCATTTGAGCCATCATCTATATTTCATACAGAGCAGAAAGGAACAGAAAATCCTTTAGAAGGAAGAATGGTTTGTGGTAAGCGAAACAGAAAAGAAGAGGGAGAAACCACAAACACCTACTACAGTTTTCAAATGCTGGCAACAGAGTACCCTCATTACATATTCAACATGATATAAGGATACATTTTTGTATTTGTATCATGTATATTCAAGAGACAAAAAAAATTATCCCTTATACAGTGATCATGATAATTTTACAAGATATTACTAAAATGCTGATGCCAAAGCAAAGATATGACTGTATAATCTGACAGACTTCTAGTGCTTTTCTTAAAACGTTTGTGTTTAACCCAGTTCAGTTACGAATACTTTTCACGCAGGATATTTGTCGCTTTCCAGGACCACTCTTTTCTTCGATTTAACCCTTTATAATTAGCTGCAACAACTCGTACTTATCATTTTTAAGTATGTGCCCCAATATGCTATCTTTCTTCTTTCAATGGTGGACAAAAGTTCTCTGTCTCTTCCATTATGTGCAACACCATTTCGTTTGTAATACGATCTGTCGATGATATTAAAAGTCTCTTAAAAGCCACATCTCAAAAGTTTTCAGCTTTCTCGTTAAGTCGAAACTAACAGTCCAAGCTTTGGCGTCATAAAGAAGATTAGAGTGGTTTTAAATTTTACCATCTGATATCCGGTTTCGCAGACGAAGTCATTGGTTACTGAAAAAATTTTCGGATTTCGAAAAATTTTACAACTAGAATCCGAAACTTCGAAGTCTAGTTTTAGTTCTACAGTAATCCAGATTTCTGGGTACTTCATTTTATCAACTTGTTCACTATCTTCATTTTTGATCTGGATCCTTCTTATGAGTTTACTCCTCCTACTGATAACCATGGCTGCTGTATTCTTTATGTTTATTGTTACATCAAATTGTTCTTCAGCATCACGCATTTTGTTTAAGTAGCGTCTGCAGGTTTAGATACTGCTTAAAATGCGTAAAAAAGCGTGATCTCAACCATTAGGAAATAAAGAACAAACAGGTAGTTAAAAAAACTGACTTGGTAGAGAAAAAACTGAGGATAATATGGAAGGATTGTGTGGCAGAGGACGTGAGAGGACTTAAAAAGGTTTAGGTGAAGAAGACCGGATGGACAGGCGACGAAGATTAAGAAACAGCGACTCATGTAAAGAGAAAGATGAAGACAGTTAAAAAAACTAGAATATAAAGATGGTGAAAATGATACAATAATGGCGAGACAAGAAACCAGTAATATAAATGGAACTTGATGGACCTATTGGGCAAAGGAAAAAAGAAAACCTGCAACAAGGTTGGTAATATTAAAGAGATATTCTTGAGGTTGTTATCCACTTGTTGAAGAGATATTCTTGAATAGGTTGTTGAAGGGGTTATGGACTAATAAACCCATAATACTGATGACGATCTTTATTTCGTTTCATAGTGCTTCACCTTTCGACGCGGTTTCATCCACCATAGGTAAAAGGATTAAGAAAATATAGTCAATTTAGTATATTTAAAAATAAAGATATGTAATACAATACTTTATAAACATATAAACTAAAACAAACAACAACAAAACTATTATAACATAACACTGACCACGCCGACTACACCGCATGCCAGTCTTCCTCCTGCGTTTCCGGTTTTGAGCGAATCTGGGTGTCCTCCTTTTCCTAAATCATCGACTTTTTCGTGAACGACGACGGACCTACCAAAAATGCTGGTCTTTCCCTCAAAAGAGATCTTGTTATCGTGGAAATCGATTAGTGCAACACCATTTTTATCAGCTTCTATATTTCCAAGATCTCCAACGTGGCGGTCGGCATCATCTGGACCACCGTGATGTTTGGCGAATGGGTTGAAATGGCCACCAGCAGCTGTACATAATAATCAGTCTTGTTAAGAAAAGAAATAATGACTTAACATAGCTAAATTCCTTACTAATTAGCATTTTAAAGCTTCCATATTATTTAAAATTAAAATATTCAATAGTATGACTCATTTCAGTCAGTAAGCAAATTAGTTATGTATATGATTCTGGTGGCATCTACATACCTTTTTGTTCATGCAATATCTACAATGATGAGAATTATTAATGTAGATGAGGATCCTACAGCATCATGCAGAGTTAGAAATATCGCACAAACATGCTAAAAAAACTATTGGTGAAAAGTTAACCCTTAACCTCATTAACATACATATATAGTACTAAAAATTAATCAGTAAAGACAAACCTTGAAATCTAATTATCTAAGTATAAGTTCTTATCTATAAAAGTAGGTTAGAACAAAAATTCGAATGTCTAAATGTACATAGCAATTAACATTCTATATTACTTATTAGTAAGTAGGGTATTATCAGAAATCCTTGAAAAAAACAAGTCAATATCTATATTTGCAAGTGAGGTTACACGCTCAATACAAACGGCAAAAAATGGAAAAGCACTTGGCCTCCATGAAGTAAGTGCTGAAATACTAAAGTTTTTGGGAGAAAATGGAATTAAAGCTCTGTGTAATCTCTTTAACAGAATTTATGACACTGGGATATTACCAACTGATTGGTGAAAGTCGACATTTGTCACAATACCTAAAGAACATTGTCCAAAGACATGCGGTGATTATCGGACAATAAGTCTGATGAGTCACGTTTTGATGATCTTCCTGCGAGTAATACACAGCAGAATTTACACGCTGTTAGGGGACAGAATTAGCAATACTCAATTTGGGTTTAGGAGTGGCTTGGGTACAAGAGAAGCCTTGTTTAGTATATAGTAAAGTAGGTGCTAGTACAGAGATGCAGAGATATAAATCAAAATGTGTACATTTGTGCAATCGATTTTGAAAATTTGACAAAGTCCGACATAACAAAATGCTAGAAATATTGGAAAGAGCTGGATCGGACGATAAAGATCGACGAATAATTAGAAATCTAAACTGGCATCAAGTGGCAAGAATAAAGGTTAAACAAGAACTGTTGGATGAAATAAATATAAAAAGAGGAGTGATTCAAGGCTGTATATTGTCGCCTTTACTTTTTAACTTATATTAGGAGGAAATATTTAAGGAAGCCTTAATGAAGACAACCGAAGGTATTATTGTGAATGGAGTAACCGTCAACAATATTAGATATGCCGACAATACCTTAGTGGTTGCTAATTGCGTAGAAGACCTTCAAAATCCAATGAATAAAATAAAACAGACTTGTGATCAGTATGGATTAAAACTCAATGTTAAGAAAACTAAATATATGATAGTTAGCAAACAAAGTTATATACAGGATGACGGTATAAAAGTTGGAGATGCCACACTGGACAGAGTTAGAGAAACTCGTGTATCTCGGCAGTAATATCTATGAGAGCTGGGATCCAACGGCAGAAATTAAAAGCCGAATAGAACAAGCCCGAACTGCCTTTGTAAAAATGAGAAACGTACTTTGCAGTCACGATCTTAGCATTGACCTTAGAGTTCGAATGACATCTTGCTACATCTTTCCTGTCCTGCTGTATGGAGTGGAAGCGTGGACTCTAACTGAGGCTATGCTTAAACGCTTGACAGCCTTTGAGATGTGGGTATACACACGATTACTGAAAATAAGCTGGGTCGACAGAGTTAGAAATGGCGAGGTCTTTAGACAGCTGAACCAAACAACACAACTGGTCAATATAATAAAGAAACGCAAGCTGGAATACTTCGGTCACATTCTGAGACACCCTGAAAAATATGATCTTTTACATCCGATCATTCAGGGAAAGATCCAAGGTAATTGTGGTCCAGGTAGAAGAAGAACATCATGGCTGCTGTCAATAAAGTCACAATAGCGAATATGGTAGCCAACATGATATCCAACGATCGATAACGGTCATGGAACTAGAAGATGAAGACGGACAGTACGAATAGCACGCTATGTTTATGTTTACAAATGTTTTATTCCCCTTTTAAATAATATTCATTAATCGAAACTTTGCGCAATCTCATTACTAAAATATTTAACCGAATATCGTAAAACAACCCCTAAAATCGCATTCATCATTAGTATAATTTTTGATGATTACCTCTCGGTCGAATTCAAATCCATTACAATAATATTTAACATAACATAATGAATTCGCAATTACGCTACTAAACAATAATTACTTTCTGTTTTGTTTTAGTTAATGAATAAACGACAATAGATAATTTTGGGGGATAATTACATAAAATATCACTGATAATGAATCATCGCACTAAACTATTCGAGGTGTTAGTTGTATCACGAGTATTAAAATGAATTTAATAATGAAAATTAGAGAGCGGTTAGGTTGTTTTCGAATTGGGACGTATTATTTAATATATAAAAGATATTTATTATAGTTGTTGATATCTGTATCCATTATTAGATTGTTTACGGATTTTTCAAGCACCGGATGAGATTATTATGTACTGTTACTCCAGTTACTGAGGCTTAAAATATGGTAATACCTCCGAATTTTTTATAACTGCATCGATTTCTTTTAAAATTTCAAATAAGCTTATCTTACCTTCACTTCAAAAGTTATATACGCTCTAGGTGCGCTTTTTGTTTTTAAGCGGTGAAAACTACCCCTTATTGAAGAAACTGGGAAAAAACACGGATTTAATTATTTTATGCACTTAAATCTTGTTTATTCGCATAAGGTAAATATTGTAATGTGTTCTCTAATATGAAAATTAATTATTCACAATTTTCAACCCTTAAAACCCTTTAAAAACCCTTAAAAGCTAATACTTTTTATAAAAATAATATGAAAAAAAGTCGTAGCAGCTTGAGACATTTCAATTATGTATTTAAATACAAATAAAAATTAATACTCTAGCTATACAATAATATTTTATTTATTGGAAATTTTCAACCCTTACAACCACCCTTATGACAAAAATGAATTAAAAATTAATTAAAAATTTTTTGTTGTGCATGTAGTATTTTGTGCATATATTATGCATTAGTGCATTTTATTTAAAGACAAATTAATTTTTTGCATATAAAATAACTTTTTATTATAATTTCAACATTTCAACCCTCACAACCACTCTCTTTGTCAAAAATGAATTAAAAAATATTTTTAACGATTTGAAACATTTTTAGAGTGCATTGTTTGTAGACAAAAATAAATTTTTTACTTACAAAATGATACTACTTTTCTCAACCCTTACAAGCACCCCTTTTGATGAAAATAGAATACTTAAATCCTTAACTTAGACATGGACATAATTAGAAAAAATTTAGTTTATAACATATTACAACTTTTTTTATTTTCCAAAAAACTAAAAATAATAGTACATTGTTTACCGGGTAGGAAAAGCTTAACATTCCTGGACGACTGTGAAGATTACCGAGACTTAGCAACACAGAGTCCAGGAATGTGGCTTTTCCTACGAGGTAAACATACTATTTTCCGCAAATCGTTTAAAATTCGACAGATATTGATTGATTTAAAAAAAACGCGATAATTTTATTCCCAAATAAATGGTGGCTTTGAAATTCCTAATAAAATTACTTGGGTTACTATGGAAACGTATTGAGGTTGAATTGTCAAACTTGACGCTTATAAATTTAATTGCTGGTGTTCTCGAAAGTAAAATGATAAGTGATGATGAAATTTGTTATATTTACAGTAATTTGACAGTTAGTACAATTATTGAACATTGGAGGAACACTCTTAGAACTATGAGAAACATTTTGGACAACATGCAGGGTGGAAGTGTCATTTTGTTGAATATTTTGTACTGTGAAAATTTTATTTGCCACCTCAACCTTATTGTTAAGCGATTCTTCGATATATCCTTTATATTATATCTTTTTATATTATACACATAGTAATTTCCTTACAGTAAGGAAGTCCTGACTTTTTCTTTAAGAAATTTTGACAGGAATGTCAAAATTTCCTGGCGATTTGCGGAAAATAATATTTATATAAAACGAGGTATAAAATAAATGAATATCTATTCATCGATACATATATGCATATGTATATATTATGTCTATTAGTTCCATCGAAATGCTCCAATGCTCCAAATTATAAAATTTTTCCATGCTCCAAAATTTATTCTAAAAAGCACTATTGGTTGTTTTTTAAATAACTCGGTTAATTTTGATGCTACAACATGCATAAAAAAACGATTTTACAGGTAATTTAAACGGGCGATAAGTATAGGAATGTTAAAACATTCTAAAGTCCTTCATGTTTAAAGGGTGAAGAGTCAAAGAGTCGGAGGCCATTGGTTCATGCGCTATAATGCCAACTATATCCCCGTTATTTTTTAAGCTACAAAAAAAAATTAAAAAATGAAAATTTTTGTTGAAAAAAACCTATTTTTTTGTATTGTGTCATCTTTTACGTATCTTTAGTGGCTAAACTTTTGGATCATACAAAAAACAATAAAATAAAGTGAATTCTATAAGGAAAACAATTTATTTCAATCCTAGTGAACATAACGTTAGTTTTATTGCGTTTTTTTTACAAAAATTTGAGAAACCCATCATTTTTTTGATCGTACAGTTGGTGCAAAGGACTTTTACCACCACTCATTTTAAAAGTCTCTTCAACCTCTTTTATATGAGTTTTTGTCGAAAAATGTACCCGTTTTCCGTTAGATAACGTTAAATACTCGTATTGAAAGACAAAAATCAAAACAAACCTTCTTTGAACAGCCATAACTCAGTTAATATTGAACTGAAAATATTCATTAAAAAGCCAATCTTTTTGTTTTTTTATGAGCTTTAATTTTAGTCGTTACACTTTTTTTGATAAAACTCTTAGTTTCAGAGCTATTCTTAAAACTCCTTTGAAAAACATGTTTTTTATTTACCGAAAAATGACACTTTTCAACAGCAAACAACACAAAAAATATTGATCTAGCGAAAAAAATGTTTACATTTTTTGTTTGAAATTTGTCCTTCTATCCGAATAGCGTGGTTATTTTGAGTGAAAAAAATTCGACCCTCGAAAAGAGGTGGCAAACACCCCCAGGGTGGAAGCGCACATCGGCACTATATAACTTTTGTTCCTTGAGTAATTATTTACCAACACACAAAATGTCAAATGAATCGATTCAGTTATAAAGAATTCGGAGGTAAAAACCCTCAGTAACTGGACTATGTGGATCGTTACTTAGTCGGAATACTACCAATGACTTTGACATTAGTTGTCAAGAGAGTATTTTTTAAGCCCTTCTCTCTATTCGGATTGTCGAATATAGGCCTCTCCTAATTCTCGTCATTCACCTCTGTTGTTTGTGAGACGTTTTCACATTGGTCCTGCAGTTCTTTTGGCTTCATATGGCCGCCAATTCCCAATTTCTTCATTCCATCGACCATCATTAAGACGTTTGTTATGTCCAGACCATTTCCATTTTAGTTTAGCTGGCTGCTCGACAGTATCTTTTACTTTTGTTCATTCCCAGATACAGGACAGATACCCAGCATCTGTTGTTCCATTGCTCTCCGAGTTTTTATGATCTTCTCCATGTTTATTTTAGTGAATGTCCAGGTTTAAGCTCCATATGTAAGTACAGGTAGCATACAGGAATTAAACACTTTGGTTCGCAAACTTTGAGGTATATTTTTATTTTTAAGTACATATGAGAGTCTTCCGAATGCCTGAATCTTAACGTGTTTGTAATAATCTTTGTAAAGTTGTGAAAGAAGTGAAATTGGTTGATAATTTTTCAGGTCTGTGGTGTCTCCCTTTTTGTGTATTAGTATTGTTTTAGCAGTATTCCATTGTTCAAGAGAGCATATCCTTTGTAAATTCTGTACAATAAGTACACACGGTTTTGTATTTCGCCACAGTCATCGTTCGGTAGTGGTTTCAATCTTGGTGGATGCCTTAGTTAAGCAAACATTGGAATCCCGTGGGTCATTACATATTTATCCATTTTTAGCATTAGCACTATAATCACAACTACTCTTATTACCATTACCAAAATTACCAGTACCATTCTTTCATTCTATTAGGTTAAAGCAGCTATTCAATCACTATGTGCATAATTTACCATGTTAGATGAGTTTGGACTAGACATAAGGTACTTACCTAAACAACTAGGACTGATATTGCCTTCTTGATGGATGTGGAATCCGTGTTTTCCTGGTGTCAATCCGCGGATCTCTCCAACGACGTTAATGCCGTTTGGTAGTTTTAAGAATCTCACGTTACCGGAGACACCGCTTTTTCCAGTAGGATCAAATAGATAGACGGTACCTTCCTCGGCGTAGGCTATCGCCAAAATGGCAGCACACAGTGCGATTTTGATCATTTTGCTATAATTCTTAAAAAGAAGTAACAAATTAAATTAAAACTGTATTTTTGTAAGTAGCGAAATTAATGCACGTATTTCCAGCTGAAATCGTACATAATAATATAAAATATTGATGACATCGAAATTATTAGACAAAAAAACCAAAATGACTATCTACAGAACTTTGAATAGACCCGCAGTAACCTATGGTTGTGAAACCTGGATAATGACGAAAAAAAAAAGAAGCCTTAGGACATTCTAGAGAAAGATACTGAGAAAAGTATAAGACTCGGTGCAACAGGAAGACGGCATATGGAGAGTCAGGAGAGACAAGGTTAATGAACTGAATGAAGGGTATGACATTGTAAGATTTGTGAAAAGTCAAAGACTGTCATGGCTGAGACATGTTCAGAGACAAGAAGACACGAAAACGATAAAGAAGATGTTACAATGAAAGCCGGTAGGAAGGCGGAAAAAATGAAGGTCCAGAACGAGATGGTTGGATGACGTGGAATACGTCCTGGAAACATGAATATAAGACAATGGAGGAGAAAGGCCCAAGAGAGATCTGAATGGAAGGACATAGCCAGACAGGTAAAGACCCATCCAGGGTTATGATGCCAAAAGAAGAAGATGTAGTGCAACCCTCTGCTACACTGAAATGGTCTTGGAAAGGACAGCTTGCAAATGTACAATACCTAAAGTAAACAAGAGAAGTATGGATCGACCTCACTTTGCTGAACGATGTGAATGAACCAGGTAGCAAAACACAAATTAAAATGAAAACGCCAAGGGCGTTTTCAACGAGACTTGATCTCGTGCAATTTCATAGCCAAATTATTATGGGTAACGTATATGTTACAGAGTGTTGTATAATTGTAGGATCTGGAGAACATTTGATGTTTATTATGTACTTTAATGTTTTTCAAGCACACATATTTAAAAAACTTGTGAACAATAACAAATACATTAAAAACCTCATTAAGTACTAACTATGTATTTAAAAACGTGTTAAAATTTTAGTTTATGTAAATGTTATTTGTTGATAACCACAACCTTTTTAGTATTTACCCGTGATTGTGGTTAGCAACATTAATGAGTTTAGGAAATTTATTAGTTGGAAATTTTAACAAGTTTGTTGCTATTTGTAGAATGAACACAACTAATTGAATGTTGGTTTAATAAACGAAAACCAAATCAATAATATCTAAAATGATAATTTAGTCATAATTAATAAGTCAATATACTTGTCATAGCTGATACAGAAAGGAATATGTAAGGGGATAAACGTTTAAAAAATACTTGGTATCTGATACTAGTGTAAACTTATTAAAAAGATATAGGGCAAAATATCTGTGGGATGATGAAAAAAGAAGAAAAGATATAGCCGATTTTCCATATCCGTAATTTTTCTGTCGTCCGGTGGAGCATCAGTCACTAATTATAAATGCACCTTCATTTGAGAAGATTTTTTATGAGCGGTTAGATTATTGACAAAAACAAATAGGACCTTTCAAGTTAGAGTTTAGCTCATCATCATTGTATAGATCTGCAAAAACTAGTTCAGAAAAAAAAATTAAACTGGACTAGCAACTTAACTAAAAACACGTCCAGCAACTGGTGAAGAGGCAAAATGTCTCAAGAAAATAACAGCTCAAAATATCCGCATTAAAGTCCAAGAGAAAACTCACTTAAATGAAGAATGTTGATAAGAAAAAATCACCTAAAACATCGTCATCTTGAGCTAAAATTCCTACTTCCATAGAGGCCTAAGTAAGAACCCAACAACAATCGAAACAATCTAAGCCAAAGACTACCCAGACTACCTTAAGTTCATCAAAAACTAGAAAAGTTACTGTCCCTAAGAAGACCACCAGGAGAACACCTGTTGACCTCCCCACTTGATAAGTGGAGTGACAAGAATGTCACTTTCATTGTGGCTTTCACTAAACATTAAGACAACAAAATGTATGGCGATTTCTAAGAAGGAACAGAAAACTGGAAAAATCAGTGCGAATGGTCAACCAATAAAAAGAGTAAAAACGTATACCTACCTTGGTATGAACGTCAATGAAAATTGGGACCATTTCCTAGAAATCAAATGTAGGATAGAGAAAGCAAGATGTGCATTTCAAAAAATGGCCAAGCTATTCAAATGCCAAATTTATCAGTACCCATAAAAATCAGGTTACTATGATGTTATATATTTCCTATACTTTTGTAGGAGTCGTGGACTCCCATAAACGCTACCTGAAAGAAAATTGAGGCTATCGAATATATCCTTCACCGACCATGTTACTAACCAGGACGTTTTATTAAGAATGCAAAAAAGCAAAACCAGTTTGTTTTACCAGTTGTTAACTACCAGAGTTGTTAACTACAATAAAAGCAGCCAAAATTGAATACCTCGACCAATTCAGAAGAAGGAAAACCAGGACCAGGAAGGCAAAGGATTATACTGGCTGAAAATTCTACGTACGTAATTCAACACAAAAACAACAAATCATTTTACAGCTGCAGTGTATAAAATACAGATTGCCATGATGCAATCCTGAGATTTGCAACATTCATTAAAACATAATATGAAGACTCAACAGAAACACGGTATTTATATTTCTGAATTGAGAAACAAAAAGACGAAATAAGAAAACACAAAGAACATTAAATTGGGAATGCTAACAATCAGAAGTGAAGAAACGACAAAATATTTACAAAAAGATGATTAAAGATATAGACAAAACAAGCAAAAAAAGTGGTTAAATGGGAAATAATTTGAAAAAGAAAAAATGAACTCTTTCAATTAGCACACACATACAGCACACCAAAGATAACAAATGTAAAAGTAATATATGCACTTAAAATTAAAAACAAAGAAGTATCTTAAAGAGATTAATGTTGAACTGACAAAGTTGCTGAACGAAGACAATATACATGTGCTCTCCAAACAATTAATGCGGTCAATGAAACGCCTCAAATAACAAATGAGTGGATTACTTCTACTTATATTAAAAAGATGGTTAATACTATAGAATACCATATAATACTAAACTAAATGAGCTACACTAAATATTTTCTTTAAAAGCGTTTTGAAACGCATAAGCAAAGCACGGTTCTAATTTCGTAATAGAATGAGAATCACAAAAAGAATTGTTTTCTGCATTATGAGAAATTATTTAAGGACAAAGAAACAAGTATAGAAATGACAAAGGAAGAAATATTGTATGCACTAAAGAACACCAGAAACGGAAAAAGCCCGAGGCCAGTTCAACTGTCTATTGATATCCTTTAAATAATAGAAAATGAGTACATGGATGTCCTCTTAAAGCTCTTTAATGCATACTCTGAAGAAATTATTAAAAGAGCTCTTGAGGGAGAAACCGCAGGAATAAAAATCAATGGAAATTAATGGAAAACCAATTAACAACATTAGATATGCGGAGGATACTATCATAATAGCAGACAACATTGAATACCTCCAAAAGCTAATGAACAAGATAGTTGAGTATGGAGAAGAATATGGATTATCAAAGATACATCAAGAAAACTAAATTTATGAGGATATCAAAAACCCAAAATAATGATCAATGCCTGACAATTAACGGTAAAACTTAGAACAAGTTGAAAACTACAATTATATTGGCACAATAATTAATAACACAAACGATTATTCCAAGAAATCGAAAGTTCGAATAGAGAAAGCATGAACAAACTTCAATAAAATAAACTGAAATTAGACTTGAGAGTTAGGCTGGCAAGGTGTTATATTTTCTCGACTCTGCTTTACGAGATAGAAGCATGAAGAAAAAGATAAAAAGCATACATAGAAGTATTTGAACTGTGGGTGTATAGAAGAAACCTGAAGATATCATGAACCGAGCATGTAACCAACAACGAAGTCATAAAAAGAGTCAACAACAGAATGGAAACATTGGAAAGCATCAAGACACGAAAGTAGCAATATCTGGTGTATGCTATCGTAATGAAAGATACAACATACTTCAATTAAATGAAATGAGGTTGAATGCTCGAATAAATGAACTTTGAAAATAAGGCTATTATCGAGCACAAAATAATTAAATCAAGCCCAAGTACTTTCGCTTATAATAGCATCTTCAGGGCATCTGAAATAAGCCAAGAAAACGTTTTTTAGATGAAGTAAATTAGTTAACTTCGATAAAAAACTCGAAGTTAATGGATGAAAAAAAGTTTTTGAGATTAACGTTTTAGACTTACTTCGTCAAAATAAGATCTATCCAGCAAGCGTAGGAAGTTGAAACATTAAAACTAACATAAATTTATTAATATTAATATATTAATATTTATGTTAATATTTATGTTAGTTTTAATGTTTCAACTTCCTACGCTTGCTGGATAGATCTTATTTTGACGAAGTAAGTCTAAAACGTTAATCTCAAAAACTTTTTTTCATCCATTAACTTCGAGTTTTTTATCGAAGTTAACTAATTTACTTCATCTAAAAAACGTTTTCTTGGCTTATTTCAGATGCCCCTGAAGATGCTATTATAAGCGAAAGTACTTGGGCTTGATTTAATTATTTTGTGCTCGATAATAGCCTTATTTTCAAAGTTTATACTTCAATTAATTATACAAGGAAAAATTCAGGGCAAGAGAAGTGTAGGAAGGAGAAGAATCTCATGGTTGCGTAACTTGAGGGAATGGTACGGATGCACATCAATCGAATCATTCAAAGCGGCAGCATCTAAGATCAGAATAGCCATGATGATTGCTAACCTCCATTGCGAAGATGGCACGTAAACAAGAAGAAGATTCAACAGACAGGACATGGTCAATATATAAAAAGTATTTTATAACCAGGCACCAATCGGAAAACACCAAATGACTATTATAAACAGTACTAAAAAGCTATTATGTAAGAGATACTGTAATGACCACGTAATTAAAGACACAAAATACAGGATCCTACTCCATCTCATGCGCTTAGAAGTCTAGAGACACACGCAATAGAAAACAAGAAGTTTCCAGATCTAAATTCATATCGCAATTTAAACGTCCTGAAAGAAATGCCATTAAAATATCTACAAGAATGATAACAAAAAAGATTTTATAGATTCATAAAGGTTACAGCTATATCAAGACCAAGATAAATGTTTGTAATTAACTACTTACGTTCACTAATAACTGGACAAAGCAACAACACTAGCTTTTAGAGAATAAAATAGTGTTTACGCGGAACAGCAACTTATAGTCACTTCTTATCAAGCGCAAACGATACACATGCCACGGTGTGCTATCTACAAATTATTTCGTAGAATAATAACAAATAATTGCAAAAAAATCACCAATTACATAATTTTTTTATCAAAAATGTACTTACCGGTTTCTTGTTTCCACCGCAACTGATCCACTTAAACGTCTTTAGTCGTCTAAATACTCTTAGGAAAAGAGACTAAGGAGTCAAGGTGATACAATCATATAATAACACAACCAGTATGTCGAAAAACAAGGTTTTATATAATATGGTAATGGTCTCCCACTAGCTTCAATTGCAGTGGCGTATTCAAAAGAAAACATTTAACGATTATTATGATCGACGAGAAAAACAATGGTTTTATTTTATCGGAAATTTAATGCATTGGTAAAATATTATAAACAAACACGATAAAAATGAAATGTTAATGTCGTTTGATTAAAATTAAAAATTATGTCATTTTTCAATGATGTATTTATCTAGAAGTTCAAAAATAAAGATAGAAAATAACATATAAGTGTCTGCATTTTACGATTTTTGAACAGATTGTTATTGTAGTAAATAGCAGCAATGTCATCTTTTACACATAACATTTTCCGACATTCTTCTTCTTCACGTGCCATATCAAAGATACAAGAATTTGGCGATCACCATTAGCGAAACTTCTCGATCTTCTGCTTTTTCTTTTTCTTCCTTCTTGTATATAGCCTGCTTCTTCTTCAATATTAGCCTCGAAAGCTGTTTGAACTCTTCTTCTTCTCGTGCGACTCCTAGCGGAGATTGGAAATCATCATGGCCACTACGACTTTGTTAGCAGCGCGCCTAAAAAGTTCAATCGAACTACACCCGAACCATTCACGTAGATTACAAAGCCACGATATTTTTCTTCTTCCCACACTTCTCTTGCCCTTAATTTTACCCTGCATGATGTTTCTTAAAAGTTCGTACTTTTCACCTCTCACAATGTGCCCCAAATATTCCATCTTTCTAGTTTTTATCTCATTTAGAATTTCGCATCTTTTGTCTAAAGTTTGGAGTACTTGCGTGTTAGTGACGCAGTCCATCCATGATATTCTGAGAATGCGCCTAGAGCACCACATCTCGAAAGCTTCGATGTTTTTTATGGTCAACTGGTTTACTGTCCAAGCCTCAACTCCATATAACAGGGTAGAAAAGACATAACACCGCAGCATTCGTATTCGTAACTTTATATTGATATCACGATTGCAAAAGAGTTTGCGCATTCTATTAAAGACTGATCTAGCGATTTCTATTCTACATCTAATCTCTTTTGTTTGATCAGTATCGTCTGTGATCCAAGCACCTAGATATTTATAACAGGGCACACGCTCAATCGTTGTATTGTCTATTACAAGATTAGCTTTGATGTTCTTTGATTTTGTGATTACCATAAATTTAGTTTTTTTCAAATTAATTTTCAAGCCGTAACTGTTACAGTATATATTGAGACTTTGAACGAGATGTTGTAGTTCTACTAGCGTTCCCGTTACTATATCGTCAGCATACCTTATAATGTTGATCGTCTCACCATTTATTATCAGACCAAGATCTTCTTCCTCGAGTGCTTGTTCACAGATAGCTTCACTATACAGATTAAATAAAAGCGGCGATAAGATACATCCCTGCCGGACTCCTCGACGGATTTGAATTTCTTCTGTTAGTCTGCCCTCAACCTTGACATTTGCTGTTTGATTCCAATACAGATTGCATATAATTCGAATATATCGGCTGTCTATATTTTTCTTTATTAGAACTTGTCTTAGTGGTTCATGTTGTACTTTGTCAAAGGCCTTTTCGAAATCAATAAAGCAGGCGTACATTTCTCGGTTCATGTCTAAGCATCTCTGTGAGAGAACGTTCTATAAATAGATCCTATTATGGATTATTTTTAAGAACAGTTTTAGAGCATGACTCATCAAAGCTATTGTACGATATTCGTTGCATTCCTTTGTATTTGCCTTTTTTGGCAGTAGTATAAAGGTCGAACGGAGCCATTCCCTAGGTATTATTCCAGTTCTATATATTGTGTTAAATAGATCTAGGACTATTTTAATAGATTCATCGTCCATAAGTTTGAGCAGTTCTACGGGAATTTCATCAGGACCGGGGGCCTTACCACTTTTTGCTTGTTTGATTGCATATTCTATTTCTTCTCTGATTATCAGGCCCTGTATCATCTGTATATTCTGTTTGAACTATCGCACCATATTTTTCTTGGTCTGCAAATACTTCTTCGTCCATTTGGTGACATCTCGTGCTATTCGTACTATTATATCCTCTACTATTCTATTGATGTGTTCGTTCCACTCCTTTTTCCGTTTTGCCACCCATCCATTTATGTCTTCTATATTGCATGCTCTTCTTCTGTTTTCGCTTCTCTCCCTATCCAACAGACTTTTCCCTGATTCGTCAAAGTATTCTCATCTCTGTTGTTTCTAGTAGTCGTCTCGTTTTATATGTGTCAAGTCTAGATAGATATTGCTTCCTGCTTTATTATTTTTCCATTAATAACGATTCTACATCGTAGTGGGTATTTAGATGTCATACATTTGGTTTTTTTTTCTGTTGATATTATCATATTGTACTTAATCCACAGGTAAAATAAATTCCTGCAGCTGGCTGTATACCATGAATCACAAAAAGAGGTTTAAATATTGGTAAGTAGGTATATTTAAAAAACCCTTAGAAGGTTTACATCAAAATAAACGTTTTCGGAATAATAATTCCATCACCAGGTTAAAAGCAGGTTCACATGTCTGAGCCACCAAAATATTAGGGTAAAAACCCTTTACAGTAATTAAAGTTAGAAAAAAATGTGCATATTGTTGTTAAAAATGAATGATGTTTAATATTTTATTAGATTTAACTTCCGGTAACACACAACTATGCCTTACGTGAGTACCAGCGTCCGAGGGTAGACCTCTTCAAACGGACTTTAGCTGGTAACTCCAGAAGAGGTCAGAAAAGGCCCATTGGTCGACTTTCAAACTCATCACTCACTACTAATAGTACTAATGCTGGTATAAAGACAATGTATTCTGTTAAAGACGTACGTTACGATGGAGTAGATCATGTTGGTGAATGGATTCCAGGTCGTAAAGAGTCCTCAAGAGACGAATACTACAAGAAATCGGAAAGAGACACTTTCTGCCCGAAATGTCAACTGCATTTATGTTATTCCGATGGCAAGAATTGTTGGAAAGACTACCATGTCCGTCGTTAATGTATTTCGTTTATTAGTATTTATCTGTTAATTTTTTTTATAAAGTTTATATCAATAAAAATTTAAAAGATGTTATAAGCAACAAAAAAGCATAAGTTCATTTTTTCCCTGTAGAAATTTGAAGAATATTTTCAGAACGTTAACCCCTATTTTTATTTTGCCGAAAAAGGGTTAATCTATTAGAAATTATTCATCAAGTCGAAAAAATGATATCGGAGTTGATGACCATCCTGACCCGTTTTATGGCATTTTCCATCACTCTTACCAAAACTTCGGGAGGAAATGTTCTCGGATTCCTGGCGAATATTCTCCTAAAGAGCTCCAAGAGTCTGAGGCTTGTTGACGTAGACCCGCGAATTCAAAAAAGAAGTCTGAAACGGTTAAATCGGGTAATCTAGCCGGCCAGAGCAAATCATCAAACCGAGAGATTAAGCGACACGGAAATTACTTAAAAAATAGTCAGAAATACGTAATTACGGTTGCCTTCCACCTTGTATAATACTGTAAATCCGAAGTAATAGGTCATCAGGAAATTCCTTTTAAAATGGATAAACCTGGTGTTTGATCCTTCTGTTAAAAAATATCTACAGGAAAACAACCTAGCCATGCAAGCCTTTCTCGTGTTCGAAAATATCCTTGATCATCCAATAAATCTCGAGGATAATTTACTCGAAGAGTGCTCAAGCACTCCTATCTTGCAGCCCATGGATCAATAGGTGATATCTAATTTTAAGAAGTTTTAAACCAAGCAGATTTTTCGGTGTTGCTTTGGGGTAACGGAAAACACAAACCTTACCCTTCGAGTGTTCTAAAAGGACCACTTGAATATCGGCCCTAGCTGGGTGTTACAACGAGGACTTTAAGCTCTGCATGTAAGAAGCTATGGCCTGAAGCTGTAGCTGAAAGGGCTTTTGAGAGATTGAAATTTAAAACCCGAAGTGTCAGTGATAGAGGATATTGTTTCACGGAAAATCCATGAGTTTGGAAATGGATGAGACAGATATAAACGAACTCATTAAGGAACAGTCTCAAGAGCAAACAACAGAGAAGCTACGTGATCTACATGCACGACAGTTCAACGAACAATTGGTTTTGAAGAGGAGCCAGAGATCGAGGAGGTAATCTCTAAAAGAGATATGAAGGACATATTGTGCATGTGTGAGAAAGTTGTAGAGTTTGTGGATAACAATCACCGAATCAATGAAACACCAGCTTGCAACATCGTCAAAAATTTCATCATCATCATTTTGGCTTTACAACCCTGTGTGGGTCCTAGCCTCCCCAAGAATTCTATTCCAGTCGTCCCTATCCATCGCCTTCCTCCGCCAAGCACGTATTTCCATATTTCTCATATCTTGGTCTATGTTATCTAGGAATCTTGCTCTGTACTTCTTTGACCAATAGGTCTATCAAGGAGCGTTTTTCTAGCTGGGTCGGTTTGCTCCATCCGCATTACATCCTACCCACCTCAGACGTCCTATCTTAATGTGCTTTACGATATCTGATTCCTAGTATATTCTATAGAGTTCGAAGTTGTATCGTCTTCTCCAGACACCATTTTCATTTACCGCTCCATAGATTCGCCTCAGTATTTTTCTTTCGAAACATCCTAACATGTTTTCATTGCTTTTTGTTAAAGAACAGGTTTCTGAACCATATGTTAGGACTGGGCGTATTATTGTTTTGTAGAGTTTTACTTTTGTATTTCTTGATATAGCTGTAGATTTAAAAAGGAGATTAAGCCCAAAATAGCATTTGGTTAGACTTACCAACTGATTTGGTACTCCTAGGTCTATCATTGCTCTAAACAATTCTCTTCTATTTACAGAGTCGTAGGCTGCCTTGTAGTCTATAAATATGTGGTGCGTGTCTACACCGTATTCCAGTGTTTTCTCTAGAATTTGTCTCAGGGTTGAAATCTGATGAATTGTTGATTTACCACCTCTGAAACCAGCCTGGTATTGTCCTATTTGCTCTGCATACAGTGCCATACGATGGCACAGT